TCCTTCCTCGTGCCATTTTTTTAAATAAACAAAATTATTAAACACATCTACGATAGTTTATGTTCTCTTAAATCCCATCTCCAACACTATTATATCAGATCAACCCACCGTCACACGGGTACCTAAAAATAAAACAGTTTAAAGTATAGAATTAAGTTAATAATAGTTCAATAATATTTACAGACAGCAACGAAATATATTTGGCATTAGTAAGTCTTATGGAATTATTTACACAGTGATTGCCAGATTTACTGGTGGTTAGTAAATATTATTGGCTAAAGAAATTTTTTTTTCTCAGTGTAGCTAAGAGATAGATGATCGTTTTATAGATTTTATTCATTCTTAATTAACTGGTAGGGGAAGGAGTTTTAAAAATACTATACAAAATATCTATTTCTTGTGAGCTGTCCAGTAAAAAGATTTTTCAATTTCTTTCAGCAGAAACAAATAATAACAATAATAAATGATAATAATGCCCTTTTCACTGGAAGATAAGAGTGATAAGAGAAGTATCTTTCGATTTTTTCATCAATATTATCCGAGCCCTTTTACCCTTTTCAAATATTTTTTTTTCGCATTTTTAACTGTCATTCCAATTCTAGAAAATCTGAGAATATTTTTACTGGAAAGCTAAGGAAAAATGGATTTGTTATGTACTTTAAACATTATTTGCTCTACCTGTAAATTAAGAGTCGATAAAATGGATAAATCGCTCATCCGCCTCGTATCTAGGCTCCTATTATTATTAAATATCAACTAAAAATCAAATGAAAAACAAATAATTAAACGAATTATTAATTATAATAATTATAATTCTCAAATAAATTTGCAAATATGATGCAAATAGGTCCCACTAGACGAGAAATCCTCCATACACATTACATATCATAAATTAAATCGAAAAATCAAAACTCCAAAAAATGTTTTTCAATCCGATATTTTTTCATCCATATTTTGAATAATTAATTTCATTTTTTAATTAATAAAAAATTGTTTCAATTATTTCTTAAAAAACAATTCCATCTCTATTGCATCTATTTCATTCACCACAAACCATAACCCAAATTATTAAATAATTAATAAATAAATTACACAATTTATTGAAGTTTTTCAACAGCTC